TTTGTATATATATGTATATGTATATATATATGTATATATATGTATATGTATATATATATATATATATATATGTTGAATGAATGTTAAAGTTGAATCAAAACAAGTGCAAAATTATACAAGGATTTTGTGTTGAGACTGCAAGAACAATTTTTGTTTTGCATTTGTGGAGGAAATAATCAGTTAATTCATACAACTTTGATATTCTTACAACTGTTTTTGTTTTTTATATACTGACAGTGGGTCGGGTGGAGGATGTAGGGATCTGTTTCAGCATCTTACGATGAAAAATGTGTGTGCACATATGTTCGCAAAAGAAAAAAGATATGATGCAAATGAAACTTAATGTAAAAATTAAGATAGTCATTTATGTTCTTCTATAGAAGAAAACCACACACAACTCTTCATGAACAGTGTAAAACAGCAGTAATGCTGAGTCTATTTTCATAGTATCTAAACGTAATATTTTACTAAGCTGAAGAAGATTTCTTAATATTCATTGTTTTACTGGTGTTGTTTGCAGACCTAATTTAGCCTTGGATGTTTTCTGTCATAAGGAGAACCCTTGTGCCAATGTCAAATTTCAGATCTACTGCTCTAATTTATAGAAAATGAACTGACAAATGTTCAAGAATATTGTGAGGAGGGAAACATTTTTAAAATGTTCAAAATTCAAGTGACAAGACTGCAACGTGAGCCTCTAGCAGGGATATTACATCTTAAAACAAGGAAACCAAGAACCCCTACAAGTGTACCTTCTGTTCATCAACTAATCACTTAGTTTTCTACTACTTCAGCAGATTCACCTGATGGCATCAATGTAGTCCACTTACCAGGATAATGATTATTGTACGACTGTCTCTCACTAGGATTGTGACAGGAAACAATTAGTGGTGTAATCATAATCATTTTACATAATTGTTATCATATTAGATCAATATTCAAAACTATTTTCACTAACTTGCAGCTGGGTGGACAGAAATACCATATCTTGACATTATATTCCCCCCAGCCAGGGAATAAAAGAGGGTTTTTAAGCGAGACTTAAAAACAATAAGCAAGAGAGCCTGCCTGACATGCAGTGATAACTCATTCCACAGTTTTGGACCTGCAACGGAGAAAGTCCTGTCACTTCTGAGCTTAAAACAAGTGCCTGGAACCAATAAAAGCATTTGCTCTGCTGATTTCAGAAAACATTGCAGGACATATGGCTGCAGCAGATCAACAAGATAGGAGGGGGCAGAACTGTTCAGAGATCTAAAAACATGCATAAGTATTTTAAAATGGATTTAAAAGTGGTAGTCAGTGAAGGGAGACCAGAAATGGAGTATCATGCTCTCTTTTGCTTGTACCAGTTAAAAATCAGGCTGAAGCATTTTGAACCAGTTGTAATCATGCAATAGAGGTCTGACTGATTCCAAAAAGAAGCACATTGCAGTAGTCAAGCCTAGATGTTATGAAAGCATGTATTACTGATTCAAGGTTACTTTTGGACAGTATGGGCTTCGATTTAGACCGTTGCATCAACTGAAAAAACAAGATTTAACAATCATGTTGACATGACTGTTTAGTTTCATGGAAGGGTCCATTTTCACTCACAGATTAGTGACCACATTTCTATAATGGGGCTAGAGATGAAAGGTTGATACAGTGGTTCTTGGTTGTGCCATTAGGTGGAAGCTACACGACTTTTGTTTGTCTTCTTCTCATTAAATTTTAAGACATTTAAAGCCATCCAATTCCTGATGTCAACCAGGCAGTTAAGAAGAAGGTGGATAGAGCATTCACCAGTTGTGCTTCAGAGGGAAGTAAATTTGACAGTCATCAGGGTAAAAATGAAAAGGTATGCTGTGTTTACAAAAAATAGCACCTGGTGGCAGCATGTATAAAAAAAAGAGAAGAGTACCGAGGATGGATCCCTGCAGTACCCCCACCGACAAGCAGAATAAATGAGGTGGTCTATAAATTCATGAAATACAGATGCAGGTCTTGTTTTATTGATACATTTAAATACAGGAATGAAATAAAAGATTATGTACTATAACAGATGTTTATATATATCAACTACCTGTTTGTGCATTTGTTCTGATGTTTTACTGTCGACTGCAACTCCTAGAGCTATATTTTTTTGGAAAGTATTTAGGGAATGTGTTATGTTTAATATTGCAGAATATCTCTTCATGTCTAGCAGTTTGTATCATTGCTTATGTGTTGCTTTACTTGCTTGTGTGCGATTTATCCGGAGATCCAGTTGGAAAGATGGAGTGTGTGCCGAATGTCTTGGCCTGGTTATCACGTTATGCATGACCTGAGATTGGAGACTCGGTGACACAGGTTTTAGAAGGCAAGGTGCCAATCGAGCTGTGAAGGTGGGAATTGAATAGGGGAATGGGAATATCTCCCTTCTGGTTTGTATCATTCGGAATGTTGTTTGGAGCATTCAGCATTTGCATACATCATTTGTTCTATCAAAATAAGTTTATGTTTGCGGGTGTTGTTGGTGTGTGTATGTGTGCCCCTGTGTTACATTATATAATAGAGAGCATCTTCCCTTTATGTGTGTGCCTGTAATTGCATATGCGGTGTGTATTTATGACAGCATGTCACATATATACACACACACAAGCCCCAAGCCCTGGAACTGAATTAAATTAACCCAAATAAAGCCTGGTGCTGTGGAGCACAGAACACCTAAAAGCTTGAGCTGAAAATTGAGAAAAGCAGAGGAAGCATGAGCGCAGTAAAGCAATGCAACATTATTCTGCAGCTAATAAAAGGAAAAATAAACATTTAAGCTTGCAAGAGTTCTCCAACGCTGGGGACAGCAGCTAATATGGCACGCCCGTCCTTCAAGGTTTGCAGGGATGGAGCCAGTCCTCAGATCTTTGGCCGGCCTAGATAGCACAGCGGCGGCAGCGGCAGCAGCACCCATTAATGCGATTACAGCTTTTAGTCAGAGATTTTCAGGGCCAATTTTCTTGCGAAGCGTCATTAGTTTGTCCTCTTTTCTGTTTTCCTCTTTTTGTATGTCAGCAAACAAACACACATTTATGCCCAGCATCTGTCAAGAGTATGCAGTGAACCATATAAAAATTCCTGTACACAAAAATCAGAATAGCCTATGTTCAATCCACAGAATAAAGCTAAACCCCAATTTACAAGTACAAAGATGACAACGGGGGGCATTAAATCTTTTCATAAAACCCATGCTTGGCTTATTTTTATTACCAGGACTAGTGGCAATGGTGACACGAGCGGTGGTAAAAGAAGACCACCTTGCTTGTTGTTCGTTAGTTTTGTATTTATGATTTTTATTTTGAATCACCACCTGACCTGTGCACACACTCTCACTCACACTCAGACAAAAGCACTTGCACCATTGCAACAAAATCATTGTTTCTCAGCACCCTCCTGTTTGTAACGATTTTGTCTTGGAGGGAATCAGTTGCAGCGTTCTGTTTGTTCTAATGCCAAGTTATTGGGTTTGTGCAATGGAAAGGAAAGCATGATAACTGGCACCGTTAGTCATTGTTTAAGAAATGCAAAGTTTTGTGTGAGTCTGTGTAGTTGGCAGGACTTTCTGCATTTTAAGACCCTTTTGATTAGTGATGCATGATGTGGATTATAAAATGGAAGCTCCTCTCATTATTCTTTGCAATCAAATCGTGATTCCTCTAAAGACCCTTCTCTAATTTAAAACCCACATTTCTCATCTACTTAGTGGCGTATTGCCATCACTTTTGGCTTTCATCTCCTCGCAGGTTCTCATATGCCGTGCTTAACATGCCTCTGACTTCACACATCTGCTTAACAGACCTTGAGGTGCTTCTCAGCACCTTAGTGCAGCAGCTTCGTTTCATAAAGTCACCATTTATTAAACCTCAAGGCAAGGCATCAGCAAAAAGCCTATTGAGATATTGAGGTCATCCTGCAGGAGGAAGTAAGAAAAGATTATCAAAGACTGGAGGAGGGCACAAGCTGAGATGGTATCTGGTGTCATGTTGTGTTTCAGCAGAGGTAAGATGGAAAGAGCCACCTTTCCCACTGGAACCGCCTGCGTTAGTATGCAATATCACAGTCTGCAAATGAGATATTTGGTGCTCATTGTTTGCAGTCCAACCAATTTTACAAAAAGTGAACCCCAACTATTTAACTTTTTTTTTTTCTTAAACTAAGCATGGCAGACACTCACAGATGCCAAGTTTGTTTTTCCCCTTCAGCTAATGGTTCTCAGAATGTGTTTGTTCCTGTGTGAGTCTGTGATACAGTATGTGTTTGTGCTTTTGTCCTCTTGAGTTCTCTGTGTGCATGTGTGTGTGTGTGTGTGTGTGTGTGTGTGTTGGTAGGCAGGATGAGCATCCCTTCTGTTACCGTTGCTGTCCCTTCATTTCACGCTCCGGCAGCTCCATGTGAATCCTCTTCCCTTGGCTCATTATCAGTGCTGTTCAATGAACGCGCATCCCACCAGAATGCAGCCTAAAACCGAATTATTATTCCAGTACGGGGGTCAGTGCAGACGTTGTGGCTCTTTTTGTTTTGTATATTTATTATTTTTGCTTTAGAAATAAGTAAGCAGAATGCAGGACACATCCCCGCCACAAATTACTTGTTGGGGTAGTGGATCTTCAAGTACCTGAGCAGAGATTGATGAGCGCCAGTGGAGCGTCTTGTGTCGTTATTGGATGCTCATTGCACTTTTCCCTCATTTGTCTTCACAGGGTCCAGTGTGCATGGAGCAGAATTCGGACTCCTGCCGGACAATATTACAGTGTTGGAAGGCGACAGTGTGATTTTGAGGTAACTTTTGATTTTACACTTGCACCAACAGATTAACACATAAAAAAACATGGTTGCCCTTCCACCACCTGTCATGCAGATCTTATTGCCAATTTTGTGTCTCAAAACTTCAGTGATGTATCCCACAATGTGACACTTTTTCCAACTCTTTCTAGCCAAATAACTAGTCATGCAGTCTTTTTCCAGTAACCTTGTCTTAGATGTAACAACACTACTGGTCAGCTCAGTGGGTGGATCTCCTCTTTGTCCAACCACACCTCCCCAACTGTGAGTGATAAAGTAGAAATCACAGATTTTGCTGGCTCCCAACCAAGCACCAATAAGGCCAACACACTTCTTTTATCTCGTGCATGTGACATGGCTTGGCAGTATAACAAGAAAAAAGGTCCAAGCTCACACTTTTTACATCAACTTTAAGCCTACACCTCTGCAACAATTATGAGCAGATTTTTATTTTTTATTTTTTTATTTGTCTGTTTACTCTGAAGCCAAGAACAAATCTGTCAATAGTTGTCAGCATCAGCAAGTCTCTATCGAAGTTGGAAATCAAAGAACCAGAATCTATACTGTCATCAAGACATGTAGCCTGAAGCTGTTTTATTGATGCTGTGATGTTGTGATTTATTTAGCAGTTTTGACACATAAGCCCAGACTTATAGATGATTAAATCTATTTTCTAAATGTGATTTTTATTTCCCACCCCAATACCAGTATATGCCGCTTTGCAGCAACACTACATTAATGCATTTTCGGTGTGTAAATAGTTGTTGCACGGATAAAGATAAATTATTTTAAAGCTTAATTTGAGATAAACTAACTTTTAGTGAAAACATGTAGTCTATCAGCTCGTAGACTAAACAGCTTCATTAATAAACTTAATTTTAATATAAAATCACTTCATACCCAAGTGGCAGAACTACTTCTTTAACAAGACAATGCTGTTGTGTTGGTTTTGTTGTGGGCCATTAAGATGAGGCCCATTTGATGTTATTATGATGCTCATTTCCTCCGGGCTTGCAGTGCTGGAGTAACGGCATCAGTGCATAAGTGATTAACTGTAAAAATAGATTATTAGGCCATACATACACAAATAAATAAAAAAATGGAGGGAATTCTCACTGGATTTTTTTCCCTGATATCATTAACTACAGACAACTGATCCAAATCGATACAATAAAAAGTGTTTTGCTTTGAATTTGTGTCGACTTGAGCATAAGCTCTACGCTTTAAAGACATCCGGACTCACTTGGTTGTTATATGTTGTTGAGTCACGGCCACTGACTTGACAAAGTTCAGCTCCTGCAGCCTGGAACACCTTGCAACAGGAACTGAAGTTGTCCACCTTGATTTATTTAAGGGGTTTCAAACATTTTATAATGTCAATAGAAAAATCAAAGCAGATATGTTCATGTTTTTAGTATTTCACCCTGTTTTACGGCACCCTGATTTATTGTTTTATACACTGCTCTTATTTTAAATGCATTTTTACTGTAGTTTATTGTTGTCATTGTTATTGTCTGCACTTTATATGTTCTGTCTGGAACAGGTCCCGCTTGTAAATGAGTCCTTGTGGCTCAATGAGGCTAACCTGTATAAATAAAGGTTGAATGCATTTAAAAAAAAGAGATCCCCCTCAGAGATATTTATCCAGGTCATATCAGTGAAACATGAGGACTTCAAAAGCATCTTACTAGTTGAAGTTGCTGAAGGACATCTAGTGGCCAAGTCAAGCACTAGACGTCACACCTTAGCAGGCAATTCATGTCTTCCTCTGAGTCAGAGCAGAGCGAAAGTAAATTACAGTGTTTCTGCACACTGTGGTATTTTACTTTTCATTGTTTGACAGATTTTTCAATTTGTTGCTAACTATAATTTACGTGCAAACAGCCAGACTTGAATTGCAGACCAAATTCATTTTCAAAGTTTGCTTGCAGACAAAAACAATTTAGCAAGCTGTGAAAAACGGTACATAACCACTTTTCGTTCGGCGTGCTGCTTCCTTGTTTGACTGACTGCAGCCAAATGTGTTATAACTTGACCCACTTTCTTCAGCCCTGTTACAAGAATCAACATAAAAAAAAATAAAAAAAAGTTTGCTTGGTTTTATTACCCAAGGGTTTAGCCGACAAATAAACAAGAAGACAGCTCAAAGTTTGTTTGGAGACGTAGAAATGCAGATTCAGCACAGAGGGTCACTGAATGGCTTGATGAGAATGATAATGAGGCAAATCATGTGTTGCCTTTGCAGTCACAGCATTTCTATCTAAATGAACAGAGAGCCTCACCAATACTTTTCAAAAGCACCAACAGTGGGAATAATTTTAGAATAATATAGGTCTGTTCCTTTACTGAGCTTGAATAATCGTGTAAAAGCTGTTAAAAATGCTGGTTGAATCAATGAATTTCTTCTTATATGCTATTATATTTATATTTATATAAATGTACAGACCTGATCTATTTAAAGACGTTGATTTAAATCTTATTTATATTCCTATATTTTGTGATTTTTCAGAAATCTTAAAAAGTTCTGCTGACGTAATTTGCCGTTAAGTTAAAGATGAAAATGTGCTTCCATATTTCAAGTAAAAATGCACACTTGTTAACAGTTAAACACCTGAAGCAAATGTTCATATGCCCTCTCTGATAACTTTATGAACACCAGCTGTTGAAAGCATTCCTTGTGCCCTTGTTTGAATTTTTACTTTTATTGCAGATTTTCTGGCCATCTTGCAGGAACAGTTCCTCTGAGATCTGTTTGCAAATGTTCTGTGACATTTAACGAGGCAGGTGAACTGTGAGGGCTATGGATAAACCTTCAACTTGTATTTATCTTAGAAGAATTTTAAAGATTTGTTTGATGTGTTAATAATCACTATCTTTTTGGAGAAACAGTTTTTGTTTTTTGTTAGCTATTTGATCATTGTGATTTAAATGTATTCTTGTTTTGATTATCATTGCTTAAATGGAGTGACAAGGATGGATAAGATTAGGAATTAGATCATCAGAGGTACAGCACAGGTTGAACAACTGGGAAATAAAGTTAGAAAGGCCCGACTGAGATGGTTTGGACATGTCCAAAGGAGGGACAGTGAGTATTGGTAGAAGGATGTTAGAAATGCAAATGCTAGGAAAAAGACAAAAAGGAGATATATGGATGCAGTTAGAGAGGACATGGGGGTACTATACCATATGACTTTATTTATAAAGCACTTAAAACAGCAACAAGGCCAACCAAAGTGTGCAGCAAAATCAAACGAGCAAAGGACACCAGATAAAAACATAGATCCAAATGGAAAAAGATAATAACTAAATGACTAACACTGTAGAATACAGACCAGTTAAAAACAAATCACACAGAGTCAAAAGCCAGTAAATAAAAGTGGGGTTTTAAGCGAGGTAAGTCGACAGATTGAGATGGAGGAGCATGACTCGCTGTGGCGACCACTGAAGGAGGAAAAGCTCAAAGAAGAAGAAAAAAGAAGATTTGAACCAGTATCTTACTGGGCTGCAACTGAAATCCGTCTCAAAACATTTCTCATGTTTTTATTATTTCCTTTCCCAAGTTTCAGAGGTTCAAAGCCTTACTGCTTGACGTGTGCACATGTTCATAAATGGCCAAAGAGGAGATATATGGATGCAGTTAGAGGACATGGAGGTAGTTGGAGTGAGGACAGGGTAAGAGAGAGTTCCCTCTTCAGAGTTGCTGTGGTGACCCCTTGAAGGGGAAACAGCTGAAAGATGAGGACAAAAGATGTACTGGTTATGTAATGATGCGCACCTGGTACTTATTTGTTTCTCACAATGTAACTGTCATTTGGTCTGATACATAGTCTGGAAGTAAAGGATAACAAATCATTTCATAAAACAGTCCAGTTCCTGTACGTACCAAATATGTAATAATTATGACCTATGTAATCACCATGTATGTTCTGGTTACGTAACTGGTACGTATCATGTATAATCCTATGAGGTACCAGGTATGCAGCCTGTAGGAACAGGGAAACAAGTCACGTCATAAGATAGTCTGGTCCTTAAGGTACCACTTGCCCAGTACATGTTCAATATGTATTCTGTAGGTACCCAGCATGTACTTGGTTAATAATCAGAACTTACTGGGATCCATTATGTATTGTTATGAACTCATCTTTGAAGGTCATACGTGTGAAGGTGTCATTGCACAGTGACGAGTGTCTAATAAAGCTTCTTTAAACTATTTTGCAGTCAAATAGAGGTTGGTTTGCCCTTTTAAGATTCTTCTGAAAAAGTGTTTAACACCTCAATTTTACCTCCACTATTTCCATAAATTGACAACTCTTAGTTACATTGTGCAGAGGAGAACAAAGGTACCAAAAACTGCTGTCTTCTTAAAGTCTTCTGCCTTTTGGCTCCAACGTTATAATTTATTTTAATATTAAAGGAACTGCTTTGATGATTCGATGGCTAGTGGTGATTAGAACAAGGTTTTAATGAGTATTTTAAAGCTTTGGCACTTGAAATACCTAATCATTTTTAATAACTGTGCCACGTATAGCCAACAAGTAAACCGAGATCAAAGATCTAGTAAAAACTGCCCGGGAGTTCTAACTTCTTGGGATGCCCAAAATATTTTATGATGATCCTCTTTAATTTTAATTTTCCACTCGTGAAGTAAAACAGTCAATTTCTTCTAATAAACACTTTCTGTCTTCTCACAGATGTCGAATCGATGAGGAGGTGACCCACAAAGCCTGGCTGAACCGCTCTAACATCCTATTCACCGGAACAGATAAGTGGTCGCTGGACAAGCGTGTGACGCTGCTCAACAGCAACAATAGTGATTTTTCCATTCACATCGAGAAGGTGCAAATAACCGATGAGGGACCCTACACCTGCACCTTCCAGGCCAATAACAAACCTCGCATCGCCAACGTCTACCTCATCGTCCAAGGTCAGCCATTGAGACAGAACTACATGTTGTTATACACTCTTATTATAATCTGTAATCTTAAATTATTATCTATTAGTATCACAAGTTTATCAATTTGATTGTCGTTGGAAGTTTAAAAAAAAAATGCAGTGTACTGTGGAAGTTTTAAACCACAACTGATTTCTTGGAGCTGGACGTCTCTGCAATATTTCAAAGTGCTTTTGATTAATAATTTTTCAGGGTTTCCGAATGTTTTTCAAATATTTTTTTTTAGACTTTGGCTGCCTCTTCAGTTATTTTCTGTCCAGTTGTTGAACCTGATAATATAATGTTCAGTGTGTGCTTCAAAGCAGTAATTTTCTCTTCTTCTTTCGGCTGCTCCCTTCCTCGGGGGCCACAGAGAACTAACTCGCACAAAGACTTGACAATTGTTTTTCACCGGATGCCCCTCCCAAAGCAACTACAGAACACCGAGCTACAACAGCCTTCTGTGTGGGGTGGGGCAGGGGGCTGACATCTAGGGTGCCCGGGGGAGCAGATGGTGGGGGTTAAGGGCCTTGCTCAAGGGCCCAGAGAGGGGCAAACGAGGGCAGAAGCAGGTGTGGGTGCTTCACATTTCCCACTGACATTTTGATGTTGCCAGTCTGAGGAGTCAAACCGGCAACCTTCCAATCACAGACCCACCTTCTCTAACCTCTGTGCCACCATTCCCCCCTGTGTGCTTAAAAACAGCTAATGAGTCATTATATTTTTAAGGAATAAAAAGACAACAAAACCTGACATGAGTTAAGAAATGCACCATCCTTTAGTTGTGCATGTGTCAAACTCAAGGCCCGGGGACCAAATATGGCCCTCGTTGACATCTTATCTGACCCCCATGATGATATGTTAAACGTAAAATGCTTTTATCGCTTGCATTATTTTTTTTTCTTTGATTATGATGTCGAAAGTGCAGCAGGGAACGTCAAATGAGACCAGTCAAACTCTTGTTGAGGAACCTGCAACCAAGAAAAGATGTTGGATATCTGACTTGAGTTAATGTAGTTTCTGAAATTGACCCTTAGTTTGAAAAAGGTTTTAATTTTGGCCCTCTTTTGTAAGAGAGTTTGACATCCCAAGTTCAGCTAATATCTCTGAAACTACTAAAAAAAAAAATATTGTGTGAAACGATTTATCTTTTACATTTCATAGATTCAACCAAATAAATTAGATTAAATTTTGTTGTTTCAGGGCTCTCAGAAAGTATTTGTGAGTATGTTAGTATCTCGGGAGCCGAGATGGGGTAGAGGTGGGGCAGCCGACCTGGACCAGAAAGTTGCGATTCGACTCCCAGTCATTTCCACATGTCGTGGTGTCTCTGAGCAAGACACTCAATCCCCACTTGCTCCCTGGGTACCTACATAGCTGACCACTGCTCCACCTGGGTGTATCCCGGGTGTGATGGGTTAAATGGAGAGAACTAATTTCATCATTGTATAATGATGACAACATATAGCACTTATACTTACTTATATATAAATAGTTTATTTGAAAAGTTGTCTGTTATGATCTGGTTCCACTCTTGAGTTTCAAAACATCTTCTTATGTCTGAATAATCCATAGGTCAGAGTTAAAAGGCTTAACAAACCAACAACACATTTCTCCGAAAATGATGAGGTAATGATAAAATTAGTGTAAAAACAACCACAGCCACTCACAAAAACAGTTTGATAAACTGTCATAAAACCAGAATAACTCTAGATTAAAACTTTTTCTAAAATATTTAAAGAAAGTCTGGCTCCTTTTAAAGAAAATTAAAGAAATTAGGCCTGAGTCAAGACTTTTGCGCACTGCTGTATATAAAGTTGGACGGTTAATTATAGCTTTTTAACAGGACTTTTCAGCATTTAGAGTTTGTATTTAAGATTACATTTAGAGAAAGCTTAGTGGGCTTGTTTGTGCAGCTACTGAAAGGAAAGCAGGTGGAAAAACAGCTGAGCCGATTTCTTTTTTTTTTTTCCCCAAGTTTGCTCGATTTACATCGTCTGTAAACAGAAAAGTTAGGCAGATTCAGTGGATGAGAATGTGCTTTGAGGGGATGAAGTGCACAGTAGGCTGTCCAACTGTCTGACTAAATACAGTAACTGACAGTGCAGGATCACGACTGGGGCTCAGTCACCGTCAGCAGCTGAGTGAATGAAAGTCTGGCTGATCTTGAGTGACACAATGTATTGGTGCTGGACTGGTAGGAGGATGGGACTCAGAATGTGTCCATTTTTAGTGTATGGTGGGCTGTGTAGTGTAAAGTAAAGTTACACATCACCAGCAGAATGAGTTTTTACAAGCATTTTGCAGAAATTAAAACACAAAAGCTGCCTTAAAGGTAACAACGTCATTCACAAAGATCTCAAAACACGTTTATCTGCATAATCCAAAGCTTATAAATGACCAGACGCTCCCAAACATGCACACAGCTCTAAGTTGACTGCATCTGAAGCTTGATAGTACGCAAAATAATTATACCCTCAAGTCACTGCATCAAGCAGAAGCATCGCTCCAATCTGTGCTTTATCACTGCAAGTCCTCAACTCCAGCAAGACATACAAAAAAGGAGCTTCGGCTGATTTCGTGCAGAAAGCAATCTCAGAGCCAAGCTCATTAAAACAATGATAATAGGTCATTTAAATTCAAGGGCCATCGTGTTATCAAACTAACTGCACCAGCTTTTTGAGTTTGGGGCAAAATGGTGTTTGGGGGTGGTCTTTTGCTAAAAATAAATACAAGTAAAAATTCCTTGACATTGATAAATGCTCTTTTTTTTTTTTTTTTTTTTGGTAAAGATCAAGTTAAGGTAGATGTTAGAAGAACATTGCGTCGCTCATTTGCAGCAGTTTATAATTTAAAGCATTTCAAGTAGACAGTCAACCATATCGTTGCACATTTCAGTGAGCACTGACACGGATCATTAATCAGATGATCTCCTTGTCTGTCTAAAACAGACGTAAACACCTTAATAAACTGCAACGCTAGACCTTATCAATAATTTATGATATGAAAAGGTGATTTTGTGGTCAGGTTTTAATGGGAAAAATCTTGTCTTTCAGTACCAGCAAGAATCGTGAACATCTCAAAAAATGTGTCAGTGAACGAGGGGGAGAATGTGAACCTTTACTGTTTGGCAGTCGGTCGGCCCGAGCCCACCGTCACCTGGAAAGACCAGAAATGTAAGCCCCTCTTTCTTGTTTGCTTCTTCTCTGATCCACCTTTATCTCCCTGTCTATAGACGTTCATCCTCGCCTGTTAAAGTCTTTACTTTTGTTCCTCCAGCCTTACAGCCTCATCAGCATTCAGCTCGTGTCCACATCCTTATTCTCCGTCCCTGTGTCATCATTCTTAAATCCAGCTTTTTAGTCTGTCTTCGTCTTAAACTCGTGCTCTCAAACTTCCTCGTGTCCCAATGTTTTGTCCCAAATAGCCACTCATTATACGTTATTATCCCCACAGCACCACCCATAATCGTCAGCATCTGTCCTCATTCACCCTGTTAACCAGTGTTGCTGTGCCACCAGCGTCAGCTACTTTTTGTTTCTGTCAGAGTTCGTGCTGAAGGAGGTCCAAGGCGGTCTGCAAGTATAGATTGAAACATAAAGTCAGATCCTTTTGATACGATCAGTGTTGTATTTATTGCCCACTGCTATGCAAAGTTAGCATTCATAGAACTGTCTGGTTATGTGTTGGTTAACCTGCCTGTCTGTTAGCAGACTATAATATGAACTGAGTATGGTGTAACAGCAGAGTGTCATTCCCAACACATACTATGAGGTGTTACAGATCACAATACGCATTCTTCAAGAAATGCTATGTTCATTATTTCACTTTTGGCCACATCGTTGTCAGCAACTCTTCTCTAAGTGATGCAGATTATCACGACATGGTCTATTAAAGACTGAAAGATTGAAGAAAAAATATTAGAGCTGTAATTGAAAGCTGAGTCAGCTGTTTTGCACATAATAGCAACTTTTCCTGAATGAGTATTCTACTATAAGAAATATATTTTAGATGTTTTTTTCCCCACTGTTTATTTTCTTAATATTATTTATAATCTAATATAGGATTTGCTTCATCTCATTTTTTCAGTCCTGGATTCAAAATGTTGTGAAATGTTGCAACTATTTTTATATATCATTAACAACCATTGGACTGCTTACCTGTATCACAAAACTATAAAACACTTAGCTAAGCTAAATCTTTCCCAATCACTTTTTGATTTTAAGAAACGTTTTACAAAAATAAATTCCAAAACATGTTGAGATACTAATCTGAAATTGAAAAACAATGTTTTTATTTTGCGAATACAACTCGGCTGATTCCCAAAACAGTTACTAGAAACTCGTGAATTGGAGCAGCTTTTTAGAACAAACATACATTTGGTATATTTCAGCAAAATATAAAACACGTTACCTTTTTTTAATAAATAATTGCAATTTTTTTAGAGCTCATCATTATAACAAAAATGTGCTTAGATTCAACTAAAGATCAGTTTTTAAACAATTTTTTTTCCCAGTAGGTATTAATGTGTTACACAGTCCGTTCCATTTTACAAAAATCAGCATTTTTTGGATCTTGCTGTAGATGTTTATTCCAAACAGTGAAAGCTAATTGCCATTGATTATCTGTTGGGTTCAGGATTCAGAATAAGCCAGACACAGGAGTACAAAAGAACAGTTTTTATTTATTTTGGCTGCTGGTTGCTGGATGGAGGAGTCAGAATCGACTGTGATGACAAATCCTCTCAAGCTGGAGGAAGGGAGTCACCTGACAGAGCTGCAGCGATGGAGCAGGCTGAAGCGGTTCATGCTCTGTGGGGTCAAATCCAAATCCAGGGACCGAGAAAGGTAGCAGGGGTCATGCACAGGAAAGCCGAGAGCAGAAGCCAGAGCCAAATCGTGATCTGTGAGGCCAAATCATAGAAGGAGGAAGGCAGGGTTGATACCCTGGTCAGAGAGAAGAATCCAAATCTGAAGAGGGGCAGGCAAGATGAGGAAACCATGGTACAGGCAAGCAGTCAAGGCATGGCAAGGCAAGGATACGGCATGAAACAGGACCTATGATGGCTTCAAAAGCAGGGACCATGGAAGGTTTAATACAAATCGGCAACAAGGAAGTGAATGACTGGAGCTTAAATAGTGCTGATAACAGGTGCATGGAATCAGGGCTGATTGCTGTGGAGGAGCAAGGGAGGCATGGCATGGAGTGACAGGAGCAGGCTTGAGCTGAAAGATGGGTGATAGGCAAAACAAAGCAGGGAAACAGAAACTATGGCAGGAGAGGACAGGTGACATGGGCAGGAGAACACAGAACATGAAGGCAGAAGTATGGCAGGATGAGCAGAATTGTGGCATGAGGAGCAGAGACATGAGCAGATGGGAGCGGGGGGGATGGGGGGTGTCAGCTTATCTTTTTGTAGTCAGTACTGTATGCAAATTATTTTCTACTTTATTTGAATATACTTGTATTTTGCACATCCTTTCTTCAGCTAGGTGAGATCAAGGTTTGTTATTTTAGGCCGGCGAGTGCACTGAAGGTCCATGCCTCCAAAGTCAGAGTTAAAACTTTTTGTATCATGCAGTGAACTGGATGACTTTCAGTTTGACTACAACAGCAGCAACACAGATAAAAGGCAGCAGCAAGATAGCAATAATAAATAGGTCAGGGTGAACATCTACTCAACAGGCTGTAATTATACTGTTAGGCCAATAAATGAACAAACGGCTGTACTGCTGTACTTACAGGCAGCTCAGGGTTTGCTCAGAGGTCTGTTCTCCCTCCTCTCTTGTGCTTGTCCCCGTGTTTGCCGGCACATATTGTCCTTCTCTGCACATTTGTTGTTTGTGATGCTACACAACATAGTACTGTACCTCAGGCAGGGACAAGCCCACTGGAGATCACACGCACACACCCACAGAAACACAAAAGCATACAGGAGAAAAGGGAGGCATGCATCATCGCACACCTGCAACAAACACACACACAGACACAACTTCACATCACAAACTCTGTGCAGTTGTCCTTTCGTGAAAGCCTACAGCATTTCTCCTCTGTCAGCAGTAATCCTCCCTCTCTAGCCGCCCCCACCATCTCACACTGCTTCCCTCCCCTACCCCCTCATAACCCCTCAGCGAGCAGAGAATGAGATAGGGCCCACATTGCTATTCCATGAGAGTCTCTGCAACCAAGCCATCAGTTGCAGTAGACCAGGGGCGCTGGAGATAGGAGGGGGCTGTTGAGCCCAACCAAACAGCAAGAAGCTGCTGGCCATCTGTCCCCATTACTCAGAGACTGCAGAGAAAAACTGCAGGGAGGGCAGAGAAGAGTGGTGGAAAGTGTGTGTGGGGAGGAGGGGAAGGTGTTGTTCCAGGTAGTTGTGAATTAGAAGAAGGCTGAGCACCTCAAAGGTCCAAGGATCCTGCTAAAAGTCTCTAATTCCTCTGCAATATGTCTGCAGTTGCCTGAGACCTTCCTGACATAGAATGGTGTTACTATTCTGCACTAGTGTTTGCAGGTGCCTCCTCCTTCATCTTTGCAACAGCAGGGGTAGCACATGGCTCACAAGTTCTCTCACCAGAGCATCCATCATTTGACCAACAGAGCAACAAAAAGGCTTTTTGTCGTAAAGTTAAATACACCGGTGTAGCACAGGCTCATCATTTGACACGCCATCTTCTAAAACAGACATGCACTTTGCATGAATAAATGACAGTAGAGGAGGAGGTGATATGTCCTTTTGATGCAAATTAAGACACACTAATAAGATGATAAGCTTGGAGTTTACAGAATGAACATCTGAAGATCATTCCATTCAGTCTGCTAAGTAATAAAGTCTGAATAGATTATTTACAGTCCGATACTAGAATCTGCTGTACGTCAGCTCAGAAAAGGTAAATGTCAACAGTGTCTTAGCCAATCAAAGTGCTTGCTCATGGCACGTGATCAGATGGTAAAACACAGCAGTGATACTGGTCAGCTCATAAAAAGCGTACACATGAAATATTAAAGTTTGAGTTTCACTCAGTGCAAGTTTATTTGTCTTTCTGCTCTGAGCTGATTGCAATTGTAACATTTTCTGTGACATTATTTTTGTGGGAATCTGGCTGGATGAAAAAATGTGGGTAGCAAAACATATTAGAAAAGCGCTATATAAATAAAATGTATTATTATTATTATTATTATTATTAAGAGTCTGGTATGTGTCTTGTACATACCCTGTAAGTACCAGGTATGTACCAGGCTGTATTATGTATCGCTATCTAAATTGCATAGCAGAGTAAAAATAATATTCATAAAAAAGCCCTTTTACTTTGAGCAAAAAGCAAAACATAAATAAATACATGACCAAGTATAACATTTTTGTCTCATTTGTTTAACTGAGTTCTCTTTATCTACTTTTAGGACTTGTGTGAAAATCGGATGATGTCTTAGATCATATTTATGCAGAAATATAGAAAATTCTAAAATGCTCAAACTTTCAAGCGTCTCTGTAGATCGGAACATTGAAGGTGTTTACACATGAAGTTCTGATTACCTTCAGGCTGGTTGCTCCTTCGCTGCTTGTTTGTTTGTCTTTAGTTATAAAGCACCTCTGGGTTCCCCCTAACTCCAGAACGTCGATGCTCTTTGAACTGTATGCAACTTCTTCAGGCAACGTCTTCTGATGTGCAGACTTGTTGAAAGTGTTTATAGAGTGCTCAAACTCTCTGTGAGAAAGCACTTGATGTTTTGGCACTCAAACAGCCTTGAATGTGTCACTGATATGAGACAGTGCCTCAAAAATCCATCCATCCATTTTCCTTACCTGCTGTTTCATGCAGGGTCACTGGGTGACCATCTCCAGTGGTCAGTGAGGCAGGTACACCCAGGACAGGTCACAAGTCCATCACAGGGCAGCAGACAAGACAAGACAGAAAACCATCTATTTACCATTTCACTCACAACAAGTGACATCTTGGTTACTAATTAATTTACTTATTTAAAACTATAGTACCAGGGAAAGCCCACTCGTTCACAGGAAGAACATGCATTTAAAAAAAAAAACAAGTCATTTTTTCTTATATATAAACTATCAGTAAGAGGTGTTTTGTGTCCATGTACAAACTGGTTGGAAAAAAAAGGATCATTAGAAAAAAAAAAGGAAAAATCACTGTTGATAATTCCTTTTTTCTAACATTTTAACAGATTAACAACATACCAATACATTAAATGTCAGACACAATTGTAAGAATAAATTAGTGGCCAGACATTGGGATTAGGACACTCTTGTCAAAGAAATCCATCCATCCATTGTCTTTACCCGCTTCTTCCTTTTTTCAGGTCGTGGTCACTGGTGCCCATGTCCAGCCATCACTGTACGAGGAGCAGGGGACACCTTTTTCATTCATTCATTATTAGTTTCATTGAGTCACTAGGACTCATTTTCAAGAGAGGCTTGTTTTAAACAAAAAACACAGACGATGTACACAAAGACAATCAACAGTCATATAGACGCATATAAAATTAAAAAAGATAGCGATAAAAAACAAGCTACAAACAAAATAAGAAAACTACATTGTAAAATGGGGTAAAATACTATAAACAGGAACATGTCTGCACTGATTTTTGTTTTGAAGTTAACAATTGTTTAAAATTCTTAGAGAGGTCAAAGTGGAGCACTTCAGATCTTTTTGTAAGGTATTCCAGGTTACAGGAGCAAAAAGAAGGCCCTTTTGCCAAATTCAGGCCACACTGAGGGAACACTGCAGGTAATGATGTCTTGAGAGCTCACGATGTAGCTGCACTGACCAAATGACATAGAGATGTATGAAGGCAACAGACCAATGAGTGATTTAAAGATTAAAACTTACCAGTGTGAGAGTCTATGTGAAGTTAATGATGACCAGTTAACCAGTGAGTACAGGGTGCGGTGATGGTATGGTAGTTACAGCCAGTTATGAATCTTTGCGCACCATGATAGACAGCCTCCAGCATCTGCAGGGTGCATGTAGGAGCATTCATGTGAATAATGTCACCATAGTCAATGCAGGTAAGGAAAGTTGCAGTTACAAGGTGTTTCCTAGCATTCAGAGTTAAACAAGATCTGTTTTTGAAAAAGAAACCCAATTTTAATTTCAATTTCTTTATCAAGTTTTCGGCATGAGGTTCAAAAGAGAGACGTGAATCGACCAATATATCCAAGTATTTTTAAGAATCGACAAACTCAATAGGAACAACATTCGTAGATAAGATGGAAGGAAGAACTGCTGACACCGACTTCCTGTTTGAAAACAGCATCCCTTTGGTTTTACAATATCAGTGTTTAGCACAAGTTTGAGATGGAACAAATCTGACTGAATGATGTGGAACGCAGATTGTAAAAGCTAAAATAAACCTTAGCAACTGTTTTAGCTCGACAATAAACAACTGTGCCATCGGCATAGAAATGTAAGGATGCATCAGGAATGATTTGACCTACATTACTTATGTAATTGTAAAGTGGGTGGGTCCTAAGACTGAACCTGTGGTACACCATTACTGACAGTTATAACTGGAAGAGGTACCATTATGTTGAACACATTGCCTCTGATCTGAGAGATAATTCGAGAACCAATCAATAGTGTGATCTGAGAAACCAATGTCTGACCCTGGACAGGTCGCAAGTCCATTGTCAAAGACAAGTTTTTTTTTGTAATTTTATTGATCCTGTATAATTTCCTTAACACAAATGTATAGGAAATCTTTATTTAAAAGACTGAATTTAAGTAAAAATTAGAACAAAAAAAAGGGTGTTTCTCTTTAACTTTCATAAAAACACCTAAACCATTCTATAGATTTTTAAACCAGAGCATCAGTCATCCTGTAACGCTCAACTTTGATCCAAATTTTAAAAAGTTAGTTTCTGGATATCTTGGTAAGCAGCAAATGCTCAGGAAAAAAAACATCAAGTTCAGCCCCTTACTGTTCCCAGTAATAAGTCTTGTCAGCCAGTCTATCCTTCTCTGTTTCTAACTTCAGACCTCTTTGCTGAAACTTTCGTTTCTGTAATGGAAATGGATAATAGAAGCCCAGGAATCAAGTGCCCCAAAGATCCAGTCAGGCTTACAGCACTGCCAGGGAATTGGAGCACAGTTTCACTGTAGGGAAAGCCAGCACCTCTGATTCTTTCCCCCGCTTTTCATTCACACACTCCTCCATCCCTCCCACACCTCCTTCTCCTCCAAGGTAGAATCCAATTATCTCTGGTGGTCAGGAGTTAGCCTCCTTCAAAAGCCATAAGTGGTTGATGGAGCTGTATTTTACTGACCATTGTAGGGGTGCCAGAGGCCGCTTCCACTCAGATATGATCTCCCACCAAAGTGTGGAGAAGTGTGCAAGGCAGGTTCGCAGATCTCAGGGGACGGAGCAAGAAAGGCCTGTCATGTATCATACATTCTGTGGGAGCTGTCAATGAATTGTCCGTGGGAAAAAAAACTAAACTTGACATCTCTTACTCAGTCACCTTTGTTGTTGTTCTTCTTGTTTCCTCCATCCTAAATCAATGTATCTCATTCAGTTTATTTATTTCTTCATAAAAACCATTTATCTATGTGATGCACAATCTAGCACTTGATTGCTTCCATATTCTGTTCCCTTTGTCATCTTTATGTCTTGTCATCTGTTGCAGCGTTTTGTGATTTGTTTATGATAATCAACGCACCTCCCCCCTTTTGACAAAGTTGGCTGCTTAACAGAGATGTCACAAGAGAGCTCCAGTATATTTATTAAACTAATGGAATGAGAGTGTAACGTTTAGCTCACCCCATTACTACACCTTGCAGCTGCCCGAACCCTCTTGGGTTACACAAGAAACCATCACTGTAGTTGTCGCTCAGCAGCAAAATAAATAAATAAATGTTTCCAGCTCAGTAGCTATAATAATAATCTTCAAGAATGACCTTCGATAAGAAGCACAGCTCTGATCTCGAGCAGGAATACTTGTAGCGTTTTGTGTCTTTGCGTGTGTGTGTGCTATCCTATATGATGTGTTTTGAGGATGTGTGACCAGTTGACAGTAGTTTGAGATTATTTTGTTCATTTTATTCTCCATTTTTAAGTAGGTCCTTTAAATGATAAACATATGAGTGATAAATCAGCCAGATGTCTATATTTTTGTGAATGTTTATGAAGCATTCATACTATTGTGATCCTTTTTTCTTCTGTACATTTTTTTTAGCATCTAACTCTAACTAGTTTTTATACTAAGCTTTTTTGGCTAATTCCACTTTTTGCACTCATTTACACTTTTTTCAGTCTAATTCAGCAAACATGCTCTTTTAATTTCCTTCTGGTTATTTAAGCTTCTTTCTGCCATTTTTTAGCTACTTTTCAGCTGCATTTTTGCTAATTTCAGCTTTTTTTTCAGATAATTTCTATGTTTTTTTGCTCATTTTGGCTTCTTTCAGCAACGTGTTCGTTCTGCTTTCCCCTGATAATTTAAGCTTGTTCTACCTTTTCAGCTACTTTCTTGTATTTTTAACTAATTTCAGCCGTCGTCAGATAAATTCAAGTTTTTTGTGGTAATTTCTGCTACTTTCATCCTAATTAACTTATTTCTGCTAATCTCAGTTTATGCTTCTTTCAGCTTTTTCTGCTATTTCAGCTACTATTTAGCTGTTATTGTGCAAAGTTAAACTTTTTCAACTAATTCCACTTTTTTTTTTTTTTAGCTCATTTCAGCTCATTCCACTTCCTTCTGGTAGTTTAAGCTTCTTTCAGCCTTTTCAGCTATTTTTTTGTTGTATTTTCAGCCTTTTTTTAAGCTAATTTCCTATTTTTTGTGCTCATTTCTGCTTACTTAAACCCAATTCAGCAAATATGTGCTCTCTTCTTTCTTCTGCTAACTTAGGCATATTCTTCCATTTCAGCTACATTTCAGCATGTTTGTTTAGCTTATTTTCGCTGTTTTTCACCATGTTCTTCAGCAATAAGTACTCATACTGCATTTTTGCAACAAATGCAATTTATCTTTTTATATTATATACTGTTCCAAAACCTGATTTCTGTAATTGTTTAACTGTGAGGGCAAAAAAATGCCTGATACTTCTGGAGACGTCTGCTGCGAAGGCTAGCTGGAAGGAGGAGGTGCACACTAACTCGGACCTTTTTTTTTTCTTTTTCTGTTGAGCCAATAACACCTCCAGCATTTATTCCCTCACATGAAGGAGCAATAACTTGTAGTCCATTCCCTCGACTCTCCTCCTCTGAAGAGATGTTCATCGCCCAAGGAAAAAAAGAGTGAATGTGTGAGACGGACTAATTTGGTTTTAGCTGCACCTGGGAGTTTGTCAACATCAAATAACAGACAAATATTCTTCTCACCATGTAATATGGTGAATTAGCCGTTTCCCCCTGATGCATCCAACACTTCAAAGCAAAGCTTACAAAATCCCCTGATATTGTAAAAGTAATGACGTTACGATGTCAGACAGTGTTACTTTGTATTTACAAAACACATCTTTACTGGTCTATAAATTTATTATCATCATATGCTGCAGGTTTAATTAATATTACATTGATTTTCACCAGATCACCCATCTCCGTGTGTCGATAATCCAAAACAGAAGTGAATAATGCTTTATTTGCTGTTATCTGCACCTTGGCCTTGCCCATGCTCTTAAATCGACTTGAGATAAAAGCTCGTGGGCTATACCTCCAGTTGTGAACCATAAATCTGTTGTCTGAGTCACCTTGCATTTGATATATGGTGACCTTTGGCTTCAACTCTTATGCAATTAGATGGGCTGGTGAGTGAGGGGGAGTTCTTAGACATCACGGAGATCAAGAGGCAGCAGGCTGAAGACTATGAATGCATCACCCACAACGGCGTGGCGCCGTCAGACCAGCGCAAGGTCAAAGTCACAGTCAACTGTGAGTACCCCTCCATGTGCTGAACACAAAAGCCTGGTTGTGATAATTCAACTAAACCTTGCTGCATAATTATGTATTAATAATATATGTAAATGCTGTACAAGCATTGTTATGTATACATTTGAATTTTGTCCCCTCTGAGCATTTTTCTACCTCGTGGGCAACCACAGTCAGAACCCTAATTGCCTTTTCAATAAAGGCAGGTGTTTTCTAACCACATTTTCCATTTGTTTACTTCAAATATTTTTATTTGCTCTGCCAGTTCCCCCCACGATCATAGACATGAAGAACATGCCAGCCCATTTGGGGAAGACCGTCGTCCTGCGCTGTGATGCGATGGCCGTCCCACCAGCCTCCTTTGAGTGGTACAGAGATGACCACAGGTGAGGTCACCATCGAGCGCACTGCTTATTTGTTGTAATACAGTAAACCCAAAGTACGTGATTTATTTATACAAAGTTATTTTCTTTGTAGAGCTCGGATTGTTTTAACACTGAATTGGAACTTTCTGAAAGTGTCCTTCAGAGAACATTTTGATTTTGAAACTGCTGGTAGTGCTGGCTGTGGAGGTTTTAAACTACATTTAAAAAGTATCCCTAAAATTTGCAAACACTGAATGTTCAGGCACTAAGCATAACAAAGCCCTCAACAACCTAGCTCCATCTTATATTACAGATCTTATTGTTCCAGATTTTCCTAACAGAGCACTTCGCTCTCAGGCTGCAGGTTTACTTGTGGTTCCTAGAGTTTCCAAAAGTAGAATGGGAGGAAGACCGTTCAGTTATCAGACTCCTCTTTTGTGGAACAAACTTCCAGTTTCTGTCCGTGAGGCTGACACATTGTCCAGTTTTAAGACTGGGCTTAATATTTTCCTTTTTGATAGATCCTATAGTTAGAGTTGGCTTGTTATGCTGCTATAGGCTTAGACTACTGGAGAACAAATTGACCACATTTCTTAAAATCAATTGTTACAAATGAAGAGTTTTATTGATATTATTTCTATCTTAACATGTGATTCTTGACCTGCCATTGTGTATCTGTTCCTCCTTCCTGTTCCTCTCCAACCCAGCTGGTGGAAGCAGATGGCTGCTTGTCCTGAGCCTGGTTCCCTCATGAGGAAGAAACCTTTAGGTTTCTTCCTCATGTGGGAGTTTTTCCTTTCCACTGTTGCCTTCGTGCTTGCTCAAGATGAGAGTTCTGCGATGAAGTTAAACTCAAAGCAGTCTGCCTCTCAGATAAATATTATTACTTACATTTTAAGTATATGAATGTTTCTGTTCAGTTCCCTGAGATGACTTCTGTTGTGACTTGGCTCTATATAAATAATCTGAATTGAATTGACTACCAAGTTTTCATTTAAAATTGTATCATTAATGATTTTTTTTAAGCTGCAACTTCAGAATCATTATACGAATGTTTAAAAAGCATATTAATTTGTCCAAAAAATAGAATGTCTGCATGCAAAACAAGTCAGTGTTTCATCTTGTATAACTCTTTGGTTGTGTCCTTCAGCCGTAAGAAATAATAACTTGTGCAGAACATGAATAGAAATGTTTGAGTTTGTTGAATAGCTGAATAAAGTGTTTTTAAGCAAAAAAGCTAGTCTTGGTGCAACAAGTTTTTTTAATTAAAAAAAAAAAAAAAACTGTATACAGGTAAGAATATTTTATTGATGTGATACAGTAGTTAAACCCAAAAATGGAATTACAATAACATAAACCTAAAATTAAGCTTTTGTATTTACAGATTATATTAAAAATATCCATGATATCTATATGTATCATACAACAGACTGAACATGCATATATTTTTTCTAGCCAGTGTTTTTTCACTATTTTTGATTGGTGAAGAAGATGGAGCTCTCAGCTGGAAACAAATTAATTTGTCAGAAGATGTCAGTAAATCTTGTTTCCTGTTCTTTTGACAAACGATGGCTAATAACTAAAGAAACTGTAGAGATTATTGACAGGACTGATGCAGAGAGAAACAATTGTCCTTATGTTAGGCACACACACTTTAATGAAACTTAGAAAAACAAAACTGATTACACTAGAGGTCTAACTAAAACATATGTTAAATATCAAAATGCTCAGTACGATAACTACTATGAGTCACAACCAAACCTTTGTTTTATAATGCAAACAAATAAGAATATAAGTTCACAAGTCTTAAAGTTTAATGTTCAGCAAGTGAAAAGAATTTCAGTTCAATTCAGTTTATTTATATAGTACCAAGTCACAAAAGAACAGGACACTGAACATAACGTTCATCTTTATCTGAGGACCAGACTGCTTTGAGTTTAACTCCATCACAGAACTCTCATCTTGAGCAAGCATGAAGGCAACAGTGGGAAGGAAAAACTCCCTCATGTGGAAGAAACCTTTAGCAGAACCAGGCTCAGGACAAGCGGCCATCTGCTTCAACCGGCTGGGTTTGAGAGGAACAGGAAGGAGGAACGGATACACAATGGCAGGTCCAGAATCACATGTTAAGATAGAAATAATATCAACTGAAAATGATTCAATTTTAACAATTCATTTTAAGAAATTAGGTCAATTTGTCCTCCAGTAGTTTAAGTCTATGGCAGCATAAAAAGCTTCTAACTATCCTAACTATAGGATTTATCAAAAAGTAAAGTCTTACGCCTAGTTTTAAACTGGACAATGTGTCAGCCTCACGGACAGAAACTACAAGTTGGTTCCACAAGAGAGGAGCCTGATAACTGAAAGATCTTCTTCCCATTCTGCGCTTGGAAACTCTAGGACCCACAAGTAAACCTGCAGTTTGAGAGCAAAGTGCTTTGTTCGGAAAATATGGGACAATAACATCTGTAATATAAGATGGAGCTAGGTTGTTGAGGGCTTTGTAGGTTAGGCGCAAGATTTTGAATTCTATTCGGAATTTGTCAGGGAACCTATGGAGAGAAGCTAAAACTGGAGCTATATGGTCTCCCCTGCCACCTCCCAAAAAAGAAAATAAAGAAAAAGGACTTTAAATTTATTCATTTACCCAGATTTATCTTGGCAGAGTAGCATTTTTTTTTCTTAAAATAAGTCAAAAGAGCTTAATGAATCGTTTGCACAGTTTCAGTATTTATTGTTGAGTGTTTTTTACACGTCTGTTGGGTGAAACCTTGAATTTCTCTAATATACAGGTTGCAGGACTTCATTATAATTGGGATGTTTTGTGTGTGTGTGGGGGGGGGGGGGGGGTGTTCAACGTCAGAGAGTAATTTCACTCTTTACCTTCAGCTCGGCTGTGCAGGGAATTTCAATCAATGTCAATCAACAGTTCTAAAGTTTGGCCACCAGCCCGAGTATAAAATGGAATTGTAAGGTTTAGTTTAATTGTAATCTCATTTTAATGCTTTTGTGATGATCAATACTTGTAAAATCTAATATCAGACATCAGTGACCAGTCCCAATGAATTATAACCAATTAAAAATATTGTAAAAGGTCCCAGAGAATGTAGATACTGGTGGGTAATTTGGCACCAGGTACAGCAAAATGTTGAGACGTTTAAATAAAAATGTCAGCCATAGAGAGCAGCGTTAAACGCCCCATTATGATGTTTTTATTTATAGACTGTGCAATTCCAGTATTAGCACAAGGTTAGACCGTGATTAAAAGGAGACTGTTCTGCAAAGTTGTCAAAAAAAAAAAATGACAGAAACAAATGATTTTTTCCAGCTATGTGATTATGTGTGATGTTTCCTTACACATTTTTCTGCTTCCTCCCTTCGCTTCTGCACCCACTCTACCCAGGCCGGTAGAGAATGACAACACCTTAAGGATCAAAAATGAGAAGACGTACTCACTGCTTCGGTTTACCAACGTGACAGAGAAGCATTTTGGCAACTACACTTGCTTCGCCTCAAACCGTCTGGGCTCTTCCAACGCCAGCATGCTGCTGTTTCGTAAGTTATCACAGAACGCCCGTGCATTCACACTCTGTACAGTGCGCGTGCGTGCAACAACACGATCGCATTTATCTTTTCCAACTATCAAGACTTAGACAGGTCCTGCTGCAAAAACATATACGCAATGTCTGTGTTTTGCAGTCTGCCTTCCGCTCCCTTCTTTTTCCCATTTTCGTTATTCTCCGCCCCATTAAAGCTTTGCTCTCCTATATTACAGCTTCTCTCGCTTTTTCAAACTCCCCCCATCCCCCCGCTCTCCTCCGTACACATTCCCGCCTGTACACACAGACTCGCTCTGTTCTGTCCTGTTACCCAAGAAGTTGTCATTTCTCTCGAGACCAGTTCACATTAACCATTCCCAATGAGCGATTTCCTACCCTTCCATTTTCCATCACCCTCCCTTTAGTGCATTTGGCATTACCATCTTAAGTGAGTCCTTCATCTACCCCTTTTTTTTTTCTTGTTTCGTTTCTTTCCCCATTATCTCATCCAGTCTTCCTTCAATGACTCCCTCCTCCGCCAGACCCATACATCTTTCCGCTCTCATTTTTCACTGCGGCAGCCACTTCTGTCAGCCTATCTCTCCATCATCTGTCCTTCTGCCTCCTCTTTCCCTCCTAATCTTCTCCTGCCATCATTAGAACACAACAAACCCTTTCTCTGTTCTCGACCTCACGCTAAAGAGTCAAACCATAATCGGATACTTTTGTAGCATCTTTATAAGACGTCCCTCGCTGTCGCCGCCTCGCCTAACTTTAGTTTCCTGCTTTTCTACCGCTTATTTCACCCTTTTAAAGGTGCCGCGTGTGGCATTTTAACGCCAGAAACCCTCAATCACGTCAAAACTGGAGCATTATTGTAATTACCCTCTATCAATGAGTCCATTACTGAGCCCATTTGGAAGTCTCCAGTAGCATTCACTTTACACTGATACACTCGAATCTAAACCGCCAGGATCCGTGCTTTTAAATCGAGCAAAGTGCAAAACAGCAAAAATATAAATAAAATAGTACATAATTAAGGGTTATCGCAGTTGCCCTTTTAAAATCTTCGTCTCAAACAACATATTGTTGATTATATATTTGATACCTTTTTTCAGACAAATGCACTTACATGTGTGTTACGCAGACTGAACTGTGGCTACATTTAGGCTTCTCGGGTTACAACAGCCTTAATTCATACAGAACAATAAAATGGTAAGAGCAAAGTGCTGCTTAAACACTGCATGAAAATGCTTGTAATCCTGATGTGTGCAGCTGCAGGACATAGAAGGAAAAAAAAAACATAAAACTTAAGGTTGTGTTTGCCGTAGTTTTGCATTTACAACAATCTGATTGACAGTACGAGTTTAACTTCCTAACATAAAACAAATTGATTTTTGGATCCAACTGATTGTCTTTTTACTGACAGGCGTTCAGAAACAATCAAAGCATGCAAGCTTTAGAACTGTGCAAAAGCTGTATGTGTTGGAGCGGATATAGAATCACATTCTGGGATTACTTTGGTGAAAATAGAACGGATGGTTGCATTAAATAAACAAGAACCTCAGCTGGACATTTAAAACTAACAGCTGGATGCTCCTTTTCAGAACCATCTAATGCACATCAGCAAATCTGTGAGTGCATTGATTATTTTGATGACAGGTTTTGTTTAAATAAAATAAAGCTTCGTAAACACCATTCTTCCGAAGAGGTCTTCCCAAATGACAACTTTCACTCTTGTGAAAATAAATGCTAAGGCACTAAAAATTCAGATCTGTAGAAAAATTTTTTACAATTTTTTACATTCTACCAAGACGAATGGTCAAATATTAACCTCAAATATAAAAGCTTCTTGCATCCAAATTTGGATTGAGTTGGATTTGCATTTTGACCCCACTTAAATCATTTTAACCTCTATTGATTTCAAAAACCCATTAAATATATTAAACCTGCTTAGAAGTCTTTCTTTTAAAGTTGCATTCTTCCTAGAATCAGGACACAGAGAAACAAATTGATAAAGTTTGTTTATTGTCTTTATAAGTAACTTCATATGTCCCTATCAAAGTAATGTGAAGACTGTCTCAGGAGACATTTTTCATTTCTTTCACTGCATGTGCTTTCATTCATTGCAGATTAGCTCCATCCTTAAATTGATTTTTAATGTTGCTTTTTGTTTTGTTGCGTTGAGGTAGTTTTTTTGTATTTCCTCTCATTTGGTTTCATTTTTTTCTGTTTTCTGTGTTGTGCAGTTTGTGCAAAGTTTAATAAATTGCACATTGTCTTAGGGTTGATTCAACAAACTAATTAATCCATCTTGATTTTAATATATCAGCATTCAAAAGGCATTATAACTTAAGATCATCCATATTCAATTCAATTATTTAGACAGATAAATCACAATGAGTCTCGAAGACTCGTTTACAAGTGAGATTTGTTTAGACAGACAAAAAAGTAGTGAAACTGGACACAAGTAGGAATTGAAGGCAAAAAATATTCCTATCAAACTCTTTCTTCTCGGCTGAGAAGAAAGACCTGATATTGAAAAAACACCTCGCACATACAAGCGCATTGTGACGTAGACATTCCGCAGAGGGGAGAGATGACGAGAGCGGTGAGCATGTCCAAGGACGCTCTCGAGGGCACTGATAAGGATGGAATAATCAACCACTTCCCTCCGGTGAGATCCCTAAACATTCTCGAGGGATGTCGAGGAATGGCCAAGGACAACGCCCATGGGAATCCAAGAGTCCTGAAATAATGACGATGTTTATTCAGCTGGTTTCCTGTGGTTGATCAGTTGGAATTCCTCGATGGGGGAGACAGAGTGTCAGATCACATGTTCTCCAGGCGAATTCAGATAAGGTGGCCTACAAGGCCAGCCAAGGGAGCCAAATTCAGATAAACACACAGTTGTTTTGGAGAAAGGCAGAAGTTTAATGGCATCTACCTCGAGTCTGTGTCGGTCCACTCAGTTCCGAAATGTCCAAATTACATGGCCACACTGATGGACCGTGCCTGAAATATCACATATAAATCAAAGTTCATGCTCTATAATCCAGGTAAAAAAATTCAACAAAGTTCAATCAGGTCTTCTGGACGGTTTCTTTTTTGTGACGAGACGTTTCATCCTTCATCCAAAGGACTTCATCAGAATCACTGATGAAGTCCTTTGGATGACGGCCGAAACGTCTCAACAGAAAAATAAACCATCCAGATGACCTGATTGAACTTTGTTGGGCACTATTCACAAACACAAAACTCCTGAAATCATAAATGTAAGTTGGAATCAACATATATTTTAAGTGTCAGTGTGCTTGGACAATGCTGCCTTGCTCATAGGACTCACAGGACTGGAGCACGATCAATGTCATTAGGGCTTGACAGATATCAGATGAGTTTGACAAGTCCAAATGACAACACTGACAGTGCAAACACACGCTCTACGGCTTTACAACATGAGATTGAGTAATATCAGATTAGCAGATAAAGACATTAAACACACCTTTATCATCTCATGTGTCAAGCCCAGATACAACTAAGTGAAATTAATAACAACGGCTCATTCACAGTTGTTACATTTGTTGTGACACGTCGCAGTCAAAGGCTTTTACCATTTTTTATCATTAAATAAATCAAAGCACACTGTCAGCGGCAACAAAAAGAAAAATTTATGCCATGTTTTGAGGAAAGGAATATTACATAAATCAAGCTACAAATAGATATAAATGAAGTCTTCTGTGAAAACCCTCAGAATATAGAGAAGCTAAAAAAAAAAAGTAAATTATGATGGATGTTAGTTCTACTCATGTGGAGATTTCTCCCTCAGAGTATGAAAACTCATTTTCTATGTGATTCTAACTTTGCATTTGTCTCTCCTCTCTCTCCCTCCCTTCCTTTCCTGTTTTCTTTTTCAACCCATTATTTCTTTATCCAGGACCAGGGGCCCTCCAGGGTCGAGGGACCGGTTTACGTGCAGGGATGAGTGTGAGCGTGTGCGTTTGGCTTTCCCTTTTTGCTGTTCTGCTCAAAGTGTAATGACCACAGTGTGTTTGGAATCGCCCTTAAACGTCCCCGGAAGCCCCACTTCCTCCTCTGCCCCCTCTGTCCCTCACAATGGAAGGAAAAAGGAAATGAAATTCTTTAATTACGAACCCATCACTGTGAACAAAAAGAATATGCATTATTCCAGGAGCCATCGAATCATTGCATCAGACGCACGACAACTCCCTCCCCTCCCAGAAAAACCCTGCACCCTCAATTCTACTTACTATAATGTACTTTTTTCTGTTCTTCCTCACACACATACCATTTGTCTCTTTTTTTTTTAAACCTTAGTATTTCCCCTCATCACCTTTATTTTATTTTTTTTTATTTTTTTTACCACTGATGTTGGTGTAAAGTGTATATTCCTGATGGTGTTAAAAGAGAAAATAGATAATCTAACAACTGGATGGTCATTCATGTAAGTTACTACACAGACTACTGACTGATGTACTATATTTGCCTTATGGAAATAATACATCAAATCACAAAACCCCAGTGGTTATTTATGGATTGTTGAAGGTGACGGTCATTTTTTTAAAATTATCCAGCTGGTCATGACGCTTCACCCTTTTGATTACACTACGTGACACATGTATGGATTTTTTTTTTTCTAACTGTGTAGCAGTGAAGCTGCTATGAATGATGTCAAAATGTACAAAACAAAAAAGGGTGGGTGGTGACGGCATCAGTCTTAATAGCCCCTTTATAAAACGATGTAGGGGTTATGGTAAGGTTTCGCATGTAGCCCTCACTACCCAAACCTTTTTTTTTTTAACCCTCCCTGCCTCTCCATTCAAAGTGCTTTGTCTAGTTGCCCTTCCCATTGCTATAGTGTTCTCTGCTGTGTGCCAACACCCCTACATCCTTCACTCTCCCTCCCCCCCAGTGTAAATATATGCAGTATGAGGCCGCGCCGGCAGCATCAAGATGCTTCACGTCAAACAAGACCTCCAGTAAGCCTCGACTTCACTTCAGTCTGAAGCAGCAAGAGACTGTCAACTGACAAAAACATCTTCTGTTTCAAAGCTGCGGCTCCATCTTCTTTGTCGCTTGTTGATAGCATGTACTGGTTAGAGATGTTCCTGTTGTGAGTCCAAACACCCCCCCCCCCTGCCCCCCTCTCCCTGCACTGTGTCCGTTTCTGCACCTGCTTTTACTTTCTTGGTGTTAATAATACTACTGCTACTGATGATGATGATGATGTTAATAAGTATTTGAACAACGAAAAAAAAAGAACAAAATCTGACGGTGAAAGATTGTGCGTGAGAGGATTAAAAAAAAAGCAAGAACAAGTTTTTATACTTTACTCACAAACACACACACACACACACACACACACACACACACACACTATGACTTCAGTGGGAAAAAAGAAAACAAAAACGTAAAAAAACGGTGTAAAGTTCTTGAAGTGATGTGCTATATTTTGCCATTACGAGCTCTTTAAGACATTTACAGTTGCTTAAGAAATCGTGTCATTTGAGTCCAGAAGCGGCGACTGTTGATGTAATTTATAATTTGTAACCGTCTGTGTGCTCGACTCCCTTTGCCATGCTTTTAACGGCATCACACACACATTTCCGACACATTTGTCCGCTCGTCATGGTGTGTCCTCTCTAACCGTGATAGTTCAAATGATGTGGATCCATGTCAGTCTGGTTGTGGCTGTACGGCGGTTCTTGTTCTGCCAGACCGTGAGGAGATAAAGATGTAATTAGCCGTTACCTGTGGCTGGCTGAGTGAAGGAGCTTCACCTGTCCTTCCCGCCGCCCGGTCGTGGCCCCATAAATCAAGCTCAATCCTGCCGCTGACAGGAATCCTCCTCAAGGACAACCTTGCCTTGGTGCGCCGCTGCTCCCTCCAGTGTGTACCTGTGACATGTAGGCGTAAACACTACAACCCCCGCCCATGGCGTGGTTATTTAGCAGCGTCCCCTGCACAGCACAAACAGGGGGAAAGCCCGTTTTTCAACACGGTGGCTTTCATTTAGTCTGGAACTTTGTTTCGCCAACATGCAGCGACTGTATGCAAATCTTGTCATAAGGAGCCTGCACGGAGTTGACCTTGGCCGAACCCTGACTACAACATGAAACGGTGGCGGGAGGGGGGGGTAGTGTGCACTGAATCAATGTATGAATGTGTTTTATTCTTTTGACTTTAGTTTCAAAGCAGCAATAACCCCTAATTCCCCTGTGCAGGAGATAAATGGTTAAATTTGTGGTGTAATATTTGAAATTATCTGCCATTAACGAGCTCTATGAAGTAAGTCTGTTGTTGTACTTTTATCGTGTACAGTCGTCTGAGATGATTGTGAAGCTCTGTTTAAATGGCCCTCAATCATGGACGCTACATGTTGTTCTCCAGAAGTCCCTCGGCAGTGTACTTGGATCATCTGTGTTAAAGAACGCTTATTTGTGCATGCAACTACGTGGTCCGAAACCAGTGGTGGGTTCCATTTCAAGCACAATAGCAGGTCGTTTTGTCAGCAAGTCTTTTTTTGTTTGTTTTTACTTTCCCTGTCATATTTTCACTCTTATTATCTTTTTTTATTGACTTTTTTTTTTTTTTTTTTTACTTGTCACTCACACGCTGTTTTACTTCAGCTGGGTTTTCCAGTGACCCACAACATCTGTATGTACATAATCTGTTGTTGATGAAGAGAAAAAGAAGATAAAACTATGGACAAAAAAACTATATCCTGTCATGTTTGTCAGTGTGGGTTTGGGAAAAAAAAGCATGTCAGTATTTGTGAGTGGGTGGATTTGGAAAAAAAGAATTGCATTTTAACTATTGTATTCAGGTTTTGCAGGTAAACGGTGCATATGAAGAGAAAAATATATCTGGGAACTGGGGAAATGGAATGTGAGTTTTTGTACAATCAGTTTGTATTTTTAAATAACATGTTTGGTGGCTTTACACGTTTTCGGCTTTACAACTTTATCGCAGCACATGCCAACAGAGAAACGATGCAAGTCCTCCATGAGTTCACTGCTGCACATGAAAATGTCCAACTTCTTCTGCAGATTTAAACTGTTTCAATGTCTTCTAATCGATGTGGAACCTGATGGGGGACCCTGTGTCTGCCAGTGCCAGAGAACCACTAATTGCTGAAAATGGCTTTTTTATCACTCTGGTTGCATCTTCAGAACCAATTTAGAACAATCAGAGCACATGCGGATGCTATTATGTCATGGCAAATAATCTAAATCACTAAAGCGAAAACCCTTAGTGCAGTGCTGTGGTTCACATTTGTGTTACTATTAAATGAGTGCTGAAGAGTGTTTGTAGGAATGCAGATCCCCCATGGTGCAAAATTTAAGGTTAAATGAGGTTCCTGCTGAGAGAGCACCCGGTCTGATGGGCTTGCGGGAGGATATCCTGACAATGCACATCGAGAACCTGAAAGCCAGAGGGAGATGGGATGACTCTAACCAGACAGTGAACTCTTCATTGAGGGAGAGGAGACAGTCAGGCGTTCATATTGCATTTCCAAACTTGAGTGCTGTGTTCCCCGCACCACACCCCCAGGGAGAGGTGTAGCACGCACTATTTATGGTTGCACCATGTAATATGAATCTTATTAGCATAGCCTTGATGACAAATGCAGTCTGGCCTATTTCAAGTGTGTAAATAACACCCCTACTGGGGTTCGATGAGTTTACAGTGAGATAAACAAGACCATTCCTCAGCTCCTAATTACTTTCAGCGTACCCTGATGAGAACGTGTTGATTGTCTCCTGTAGCTGAAGGTTATGATGATTTGTTTAGAGAAGTGTGCCATGAAATTATCACTTAGAGCTCACAAAAACTAGACACTTTACAGAATATAGTGCACTTTAATAGGTGCATTTTGTTTGGTTTGCTTGTTTTTTTGTAAAATTTTAATCTTAATTATAAGATTTTTTTTTTAATCCGCATATATTTTGTGTTATAAAATAAATTGTAAAATATAGATTGTAAAATTAAGCTTTTTGTTTTTTTAGAGTGAAGTGCGTTTATGAACAGGATGCTCGTTAAAGCTGCTAAGAACACTCCTGAATCAACCTCGTGAGTTTTTATTGTCGCTTCGGCGTCAACGCTGAAGACAAATTAAAGCGCTGTAAGCTAGGTGGTATAATATATCACGTTCTTTGTTATGTGGCAGCAGGCTCAGGCCAAATCTTTTCTTACAACAGCTTCCCTGCACAGACCACGTCCTGGACAGACTTTCAATCCAGAAGACAATAGTTAATCAATACATTTGACTGAACGGCTTTGGAATAGAGCAATTTCTCCTCAGCCCAGGAAAGTGAATTGATCAAGTGTCTATAACCCGGCCTTAGAACAGAGAGCATAATTCATCATGCCTGATACAAGACACCCCTAATTGCGCATCGATTTTAAGCCCTTCTTTGAAACTATTTGGGCAGGCTGTAATGTCAGCTCGGTAAACTATGAGTTCAGAGCCATGAATTCGACCCAGGGAGGGAAGAATTAATCACTTTTCTTTTTGAACTGTATTTATTGGTTGTTTTTCTGCGTTTTTATCAGCCCATGAATACAGTGCAGCGTTATGTGGCAGCAGCTCGTGTTTTAAACAGTTACATATCTATTATGCTTAATGAGGAAAA